CCCCAACCAACGAGCAAACGTAACGCACAAAAGCGAAGTCATTGTTCGGTTATTCGTTTTCTGTCAATCGTTTACCCTATCTGCACCGAAATCAACACCAAAGTGCTAAAAAATTTACAAACGTCCGGATTTAAATAATGTAGAAATTTAAACACGTATAACGATGAATTAATATTAGCAATTTATCCCTAGGTTATAATTGAAAATAAAATATTTTTTTTTATTTTCTATATTTATCGTTTAAAAAACCTAAACCGATGACTAATTTGAACGTCATTCAATTTATCGAAAAAATATTTTGCACCTATTTATTAAAACGTCTCCCCCCAAACAAAAGTATTGAAATCACGACCAAATCAGTCATCAATTATATTGCATTATGATAATTTAAATAATAAAAAATAAAAAAATTCCTAATTAAAATAAAAAATTTAATACTAGGAGTTGATAAAAAATATTGCCAAGTTATAAAATTATAAAATGACAAATTTTTTTGGAGGAAATTCACCGTCCTAGTTGAAGAAGTGATCTACACATTACTATTCGTAAACTTGAACATTATTTGTCGTTAAATATCACGGTTAATGAATTCGCGGACGTTTTGTCGCTTCAACTTGAACAGTTGTTTGGCATAATGCCATATTCTGAAGAAGTATTCATCCGTCGAAGAAGAGATCCCCGAGCGTATGATCGTATTGTCGGCGTCCATGTTGTGCTCCCGCATCCACACGGGTGGTCTGCGGCTGAATGACGTGGGGCTCCGTCATTTCTGTCTGTTTTACCAAACTCTTCATCTGCATGAGAGTCTAAAACAATAAAAACAAATTAGCTTTCAAGTGTAATGATTTAGAATGTTGGTTTGTCATTCTTTTTTTAATCTAATTAGTGAAGAGGTCGTTTACGACAAGGTACGCAGAATCAGTGCGCTTGCTGAGGTAACGATGTTTCTAAATCTAAAACATATCCCAATCAGTAGTAAATAACCGAGAAACATTCGCTTAGAATATAAATTGCAAAATGGTTTCAGCGTTTGTGTAATGTATCATTTATAGGGTAAATAATAATTATCAAACAAAAAGTAAAAAATACCCTTTTCCAGGCACGACTTTGAAAGGTTCGTCCGACTCCAAAGGCTCGCTCAGGGGCCCATTTCGTTGCGAGCATATATTCTTATCATTAAGTATGGTTTTCACTTAAATCTTTAATATTGAACTTCAAAATAATTTGCATCAACTTTTCCAACTTCCATCCACATAGTTTTTGGGTTAACGTCACGAATAGCAATGTTGTAACCCAATAAAGGCGCACCACCCCCCCACTCGGGATTCCCCATGACGTCATACGATGTTGTTCCCAAACGGGCTATTTCTAATGTGCTTTAGGTGGTGATGGCAAAGCTAAATTTTGAAATAATTTCAGTAATTGTCATTTTTGGAAATCTTTTTAATTAATTTAGGTTTTTTAGGAATTTTAATTAACACAAGTGGGTGAGATCCTACCTTACCTACACAAAAAGGTGAAAGAGTAAATGTAAAACTTTGTTTTTTTTTCCTAAACTTTTTTTACTTAGAAAATTTCTGTTTTTAGTTATGTGTAACATCCAGAAGAACCCAAATAAAGTAACAGGAAAAGGAAAAAATGGCATAATTATAAAACCCCATTTCTCCGATATCGATTTCAGTAAAAATTTTTGCTTTTTTTAAAGGATTTTCAAGAGCAAAACATTATCAGAAAGTTTTATATTTTTGGGTAAGAAAATTGTTTAGAAAGTAAAGGGAAGTCCTCAAATCCTTAAAAACCGTTAAATTTTATATTCCAAATCAACTAAATATATAACTATTAAAAGTTTATAGTGATTTTCGCATTTTCCCGATTTATGTATTCAAAATTTTCCCGGGGATTCAAAGGCAAATCTTCAAAAACCAACGAAAACGTTTTTTAAACACGAACATATTTTATTTTAAATTTTTTTTTTCGGTTTCGCTCGCGGTATGAGAAACTGTTTGTCTATTGTTAAAACAGATATATTGTTTATGGTCAGTCTAAAAATTTCTCTTTTCGGGGCCCCTTTTATGAAATTTTTTGCTTTAAACTTCCCATTTATTTTTTTATGCAGAAGGGGCCCTTTTTCTTAAAGTTGGGTCATACGCAGAGGTTTTTTTTTATATATAGTTTTTAAATCCTATAGGATTACTGTCCCCTTTTAAATACTTATTTTTAAATGTAAATTTTTTTTGGGGAATAAAAATTTTACTGAAAAAAATATTAAGAATTACTTACTTGCATGCTTCTCTAGTCTCACTATTTCAGATTCGGGAAAAATTATTCCAATGCGTTTTCCGTGATATCCTAAGACTAGCTCATCTTATCTTTTTAAAATTTTCAATGCGTGTCATAAACTGATCCATTTTTCTTTTTAACTTTGGTCCATGATTTTGATTTAACAGTCTTAATTTTAATTATGTTTAAACTAAAAACAGTAAAAAATTCTTTTTTAAAAAACTTCCCTAAAAACACCAAAATAAAACTAAAAGATAAAAGTTTTTTTTCATTAATGAATGATTGTTTAAATATTTAAAATGATATAAAACATACTTTTTTATAAAACTTCCACCGTCCCCTTTTTTGGGCAGGGCCACTTTTTAAGTTACAGACCTGAAGTAAATTTCTTTAAATACAAATTTTGCGGTTGTGATGGTGGAGCAGAAAAGCAAAAATTAAGATTAAAGGGAAAAATTTTTCAATATATCAACTACAGCACACATGGGGCCCCCTGTTCCAAACTAAGCGAGCTGGGAAAATGGGAACCAGTGTAGGGAAATATTCTATATGTTTTAAAACATACATTTTACAGATATTTTCACCCAAAAGAAACAAATGATCATGTTCCCAATCAATTATTTGTCTTCGGTGGGAAATTTAAAACCCCAACCTCTGGCTTAAACCACAAGACCAACAGACCATCAATAAAAAAAAATTAAAAACATAATATGGGGGTAAATAAAAAATTATTTTTGTAATTTACTTACATAATGTTTTCCCTATAGTAATTTTTTCATCTGACAAAAGGGGAAAAACTGTTCCAATTTCATTACTGCCACTTCCAAAACTGATATTTACTTTTAATGCCCAACTTCTTTATTTTTGTTTTAGTGTCAGTAACTGTGCTACTTGTTTCCATTTTTTACCTTCTTGCTTGATTTCAACACTATACCCAAGTTTGGGTGACCCCCCATTTTTCTCTGATGGATCCCCATGTTACAGTCAAAAAATCATGGTTGATTCCATAAAACCTAAGGCCCTAAGGTGGTGAAGGTACATCGAAAAAAAAAGGTTTATTTTATGAATAGCTCAGATTTTAAAAATTTTTGGGAAATTAAAATATATTGAAGTGACGTTTACCAAGGGCAGTCTTAATCCCCTTGGGGTTTCACTTTCTGGGGTTTCAAAAAAATCCATGTTCTGACCCATCACTGGGAACTATATTCACTTTTTTTCATTCTTTTTTGTATGCAATGGGTTTAAACCTCTTTGCAACATCGGGTACTTTCACCCATCTATTTTGTCGGGCTCGTGTTTTTTCAATTGCATCTTTGCAATTCCAAGCCACCATCACCAATGTGGCTTCCTTTTTATGTCACAGATTCTCTGCTTATCTCACGCATTTAATGGACCCCCCTTTGGGTTTTCCCGGTTTATCTGAAAATTTGGGAAGATCATTAAATAAATTTTTGTTACCTAATCAGTTTGAATTGTAACGTCATTTAACTATCCCTTTTCAGGAAAAGATTTTCATGTGTTTTTAATGAGCATAATACTAAGATGTAGAAGTAAGTCAAAAAAGTAACAAGAGCAATAATGCCATGGGGAAGGTTTATGCAAAAAATTTCTTTCAAATCAGATGGTTTTTACTGATTACAATGTTTGACATTTTTAAGTAAGTCCACTCTTGAAGTATTTATTACACATAATCTTTTTTGTATATAAAAATAAAAGAGTATAAAAAAATTACAGTATTCATCAAAAGGTCACAAATGAATAGATTTTTGCTTTTAATATCTATCTATACTTTTTATTTAGAGCTAAAAAGATTTTGTTTTTTATTTGAATACTGGTTCGAAGGGAAAAAATCTTTTAAGTTTGGATACCTTTTTCATGGGGGAAGGCTATGGCTAAAATTTTACCCTATGACCAATGGAGCCGAGCTTAAAATCCAAAATGTTGAAAAAAAACGAAGAAAATTTTTTCTTTGTTAAGTAAGTAAGTTTTAAGATGTATATAAAAGAAATTTACCATAAACCTTAAGTGTCACGTCAAATAAAGTACTTTTCCATTTTTGTTTTGACCCCCAAGGGTGTTTTTTTCCATGTGTGACGCTAGCTGAGTATTTGATAATACTAACATTCTTCCCTTATTATTTGGTTTTTTTGGTTTTAACTATTTTATCCCATTAACGTCCCAATTTTTTAAAGGTTGAGGTTACCTTCTAGGAAAGGGGCTGTTCACACCATTCCTCGCCTACTTTTAGCTTTTGGTTGACCTCTTCGTCTGCTATTTAATGATAGGTTTTTGTTTAACTTTTACCCGACACGATGTTCAATTTCACCATGCTCATTTGAAGCCATAAAAAGTATTTTCCATCGTTGTTTCTGTTTCAGTTTTAATTAGTGTGCTATCTAAATTTAAAATAAGTCGCTTTTTGGGATCTTAAATTTTTTGTATCCTTAAAACCTACCCCTTTAGGTTCAGGAATTCCACCAAATATAATGTCCAATTCTATTCTTCATTGGGTTTCCTTAATTACATCTTTGAGTGGTTTTTCGACGCGGGGTTGGGCTTTTATATCCTTCAACGCGAATAAAATTCAGTGATTTTAGATGATTACTAATCCTACTTCATTGAGCGAAAAAATTGAATCTATATGACGATTTAGTTTTCAAACTATTACAGAATTTGTATCTTTTGATGTTTTAAAGTGCCATCTGAAAATTTAAAACTGAACTGTTTTTTTTTTTATTCCAATGACGAATTGTTAACGAATGAACGAAATTAGTAATGTTTTCTTATTGGTATGAGTTAGTTATTTTTACTTACTCTGTAGTTCAAATTTTTGGGATTCAAGTATGTAAACAGTCAATTTTTGAATTTCCTTTATTCTAGGCCCCCTCCCAAAATACACTTATTGAAATTTTTCTTTTGCCAATTGGGAGGCTTTCCGGGTGCAGAAAGGAACGTTTGTAATTGAATATTTTTAATTGTAAATATTCTCGCAAACATGATACTTTGGTGCTAAGGTCTTGTTTATCATAAGCGACAAATTTTTAAATTTTAAACTTTTTAGTGGGGAAAAAAACCCAATTCCCGAGAGGGGAGTAAAAAATGCCTTTGAAGTTTGTTCCTCCCGTCCAGCGATTTTTTTTCAAGAAGGGCATAAAAAAACTGCCAAAGCGTTGGCAAAGATGCGCGATTGCATGGGTGTTACTTCGAATAACAGAAAGTTTTTAAAAAATAATACTTTATTATTGCATAAACAAAACGGCAATTTAGGTAAAGACCCATTATTCTAGAAAACGCTTGGCGATCGAATTTGTACATTGTTTTGTGTTATTCTATTTAGCAGAAACTTGAACTGACATTGTTTCACTTTTGTACATGACATGTGAATTTTTTTAAGTATTGCATAGCGGGGCCCTTAGCGTGGAACCGAATCCAAAAAATTCCGTACGAAAAAACCTAACAAACCCCACTGATCTTTTTAGTTTTTCCATCTATCGATGAATAGAGAACTTTTTAATGATTTTTTTAAATATCCCTTCCTCTTTATTCACAACTCGCCTCTAGGGGGATTTTTTTTTACGGGGTTACTGCGCATGCGTATCCCCCTCTTCGCCCCCTTTAATTTAATATAAAAAAAAAAAAACAAAGGAAAAAAAATAATATTGGGCGAATTGATAAAAAAATGTATCAATAGCTTTACCCCGGGAGTCCCCGAGTGCCCACATCCTTTTTTTTTTTTTATAAAAATTTTTAACCTTTCACCAATACTTATTGGTTTTAAAATTTTTAGCTTTGTGCTTTCTACGTATTTTTCGTTTTTATGGGCCTTTGGTCTGGTGGGTTTAACCCCCGGTGGTTATGCACTCGCGGGAGGATTTTGGGGTTTGTTTAGGATCGATTTCTGTTCTGGGGGTAAATTTTCTAAATGAATGTATTTTAGAAATATTTGTATTTTTTCAGCAGTCTGATTTCCATAGCCATAGTCCAAAAGTGACAGACAATTTGAATAGGTAAAAAATGGGTTTTACGGGAAAAAACATCCGCGAAAAGTTTCCCCG